CAACTTACACCCCATTCTCATAGATTAGATCGACCTACATTGGATCGACCTAACTCCCTGGGGGTTCACGCTAAATAGCTGTCAGCCGGGCGGACACGAAAGTTAATTACCCCTTAAAGCTTGTAGTAGGCGGGGACGGACACTTAAGAGGGATTATCTGACAGTAATCTAGTGAGACTCCCCGCGGTGATAGATCGATCTAAAAGTTGTGAGAACAGAGCCTTAATGCATCCCCGCTCTCTGAGGAGAGGAGACACGCAGTCTGGAAGCGCCTCTCCTGCAGGTACACGCGGTTCCGCACCACCAAAACCACAAGGAAGGATATTCTCCGTAACGGGACACAAAGTACTGGTTGTAAACCAACTTAAAGTTTTTTCCCCACAGAAATGGAAGACATATCTTTGTTTTAAAGAATAGGGAATCATCGTTATCTGTAGTGATCACAAAGGCTTATTTAACTCTGCAGCATAATTTTAACCTATTGCATTTGAAAACGAAAATAACAAATTATGAAGACTGTTTTCTAAAAGGTCTCTTATTTAACATACCAGCCAACAGAATAAATTTATTTGGAGAATATTCAACCACATTTTTCTTTTATCTCACTTTAGTGACCAAAAACGCGTGTTTTGTTATGTTTTAGATTGAACACTATTATTTGAACAGTGAAGCAGAATAAAACTTATTGCATCGGCAAAACAGAGGAATGTCTAAACGTTGGACCCAGGTTATAAGAAAAAAATACGTGTAGCTATCTTTTAAAACCATACAAAATACACAGAAACCATTTCATTTGAACTATAATGGTAAATGCACCTTCCAAATGAAATCTACCCCAAAGGAATTTCCAAAGAAAAGTACTTAAACAACCTTAAAGTTGCCCGCTAAATTGTTTAATGTATAATACGGGGAATCTCGCCCGTTCTTTGCTCCGATTCTCTTGCCACAAAATCAAAACACGTTGTTGAATAATGGAGCTCATATGGCTTCATCACAATCGAATTATCTTGGTATTTTTTCAGTTGTGAGGCGTTCCTTTTTGATGTTTTGGGTTTAGTTCATCACTAACATACACTTCTAGTAAAGGTATTGGAGTTTTGGAAGCGCGTGTCGGGGGCGGGGCGGGAACTCTTGGGGCCAGGCAACCAGCCTAGTGAAACCACTCTCTTCAACTGCTTTTGGGTACAACATACTCTTCACAGGGTAAAATTTTGGTGAACAAGGACATGCCCATGTATAAGTAAAAGCTTAATGGATTTCTATCGAGTGCTTTATTCAGATACTAACCTTCAGATTTTTACAGCTGCTTCAATTTTGTTTTTTTCAAAGACGATCAGAAACAACTACTAGCTCAAGAATGTTATGAATGTATTATTCAGGAAAACTATCACTTATGTTTGTCAAGGTGCCTTAATTAAAGCCTTCCTGTTGTTTTCTCGAGAGATCAAACACAGAAATTGTATTAACACTTATTTGGGTTTGACCTAATCGTTTAGGACCGGCAAAGAGATGGAAAATATTATTTTGTTTCTCTTTCTCTGAACGGTGTTTGCGTTATAATTTCAGTCTCCTTTTTCGTTTTTGTAGCTTAATTTTCCCATCGCGGTGCCTTGCCGTTCACGAAGAGCCGCACTCACACCGGTATCTATTCTTTACTACATGGTGGTACTTAGACCAAGACGAGGGATCCTCGCCACCCCGCCCAACCCCATTTCCTAAACAAAATGGCGGATTCGTCTCCAGTGCCTCGCCAAAAAATGAGCGGACTGATCTGAGTAATACTGAAACACCGTGATATGTCGAAAACTATACAGTATTTCTCAAAACTCTCCGCAGCAGAAAAGTGCGAGGGGTGTGGGGTGGGGTTGGGTGGATCCAAATTTCTTGGTAACATAGAGTTCCAACTGGTATATATATATACGATGTTTATTGTACAACCTAGGAGATACTAGTAAAGATAAAAGTTCACTGGCTCTGTGTGTTCGAGTTGCATTGTGGCAGTGAAAATTGTGACTGGTTTCTGCGCAGTCAGTTCTTTTTTCTTTTTTTTTTTTTTTTGCTTTAATTTTGTAGACGTTTGCTGAAGATCTAAGCGTGTTTTATTAACCGTTTGCATTTCGAATTAAGAGGAAGGCCGCCTTTCTGTCCAATATGCACAAGGAAAATACATTGTTTGAACAGTTAACAAGAAATAAAATGGATGCACATCATCATCGTCTGTTTCTTGGACAACCTGTACCGGGATCGGTCGCAGTCTATACTTGCATTGCTATATACTTTGACGCATTACTCTCTATGCGGCTACGGCCCACATCCAACCATTACGCCGCTTTTCTTTCTTCTTGATAAAAACACTAAAACCTGAAATATAAAATAAAAATAAAAAACATTAAGGTATATGAAAATAAAACAAATGAATATTTTTGCAAAATAGACTGATGATTAAACACTACATGTACGTTTAATAATAAGGAAGAACAATGTACGTCGACAGGAACGCAGAGGATGTCGTTCAGCGCATTCTCGGGATGTTATAAAAATAAATAAATAAATGAAAAACTATAATCTGGTATTCTCGTGGAGCTTTTACAAACAAATTAAAACTCAAATTAGATCACCGAGTACTTGGAATAAAAAACAATTCGCAATTAATCTTGCATTATGCTGTCTAAGAAGAAACATTTATTCGAGAGAATCCTACATTAATACGTGAGCGAAGTTGTTTTTTATTCTTTTGAAACGTTAGGGCAAAGCATTTTAATTTCTTTACCCTTTTCATCTAACGAATTAATACCCGTTAATAGTCAACTGCACCTTAAATCTAACTAATAATAATAATAATAATAATAATTTATTGAGCACTGAAATGTTTTTACATTTAGAGGCTCTCTAGCTACTATACATATGGAAAGATAGTAAGGATAGTAAGTAAATGAAAGAGAGAAAAAAAAAAATATATATACTTATATAATGTTACACAAAATACATTCTCTTAATATCCAGGTGAGATGCATGAAATCATTTGTGCACTTCTAATAAAGGGGAAATGGTAGGTGGGAATAAGTAAACCCTAATAATTTACTTAACTGGACCAAAACCAACGATGATTTTTCATAATGATTTTTCTTTGTTAACGATATACGAAAAACTATGTTCTGAAATGCAAGGTGACCTTATATCAGAAAGTACATTTGTATGAATAACTTGAAATAAAATGATTTGCCAAACGTAACCCAGGTGTTGTTAAGTTTTAAGTTTTCAAAGTATAAAAGTATAATTACCTCCTCGGTAACCTATGTCCATATCCTAAAAAGAGGAGAAGAAAATACGTAAGCAAACGAATACCTTTATCACTAGTTACCGCCGACGTTTTCTAGCGACCCAAGTTTTTCATTCCAATTAAAAAATAATGTCAAACCAAATCACACCCTTAAAAACACAACAGATGTAAAAAATAAATACTTACCTGGCCCCACGAATCCAAACGTTCATAATCAATAAGCGACCCAAAGACTGGAGTAGGCTCATCCACCGTCACTGGGCCACTCCATCTGATATCTCTATCCACCGCCTCCACTGAAATACAAGCCAGTCAGAAACTGAAGTCAAAATGGTGTGTTGGAATGAAGCGAATTTTGTGAAGGCCTTTTGTGTGGTTTAATATGATAAGTTTAATTATATCTATATTTACGCATCAATAGCTGTGAAAGAAGAAAACTTGAGGTAAAATCGGAATGTTTTATCGGAATTAATGGTGAAACAAAAACTATGAAAAAAAAATTCACTTAGAAAAGCGTTTGGACAATTGTAAGGAACCCATGGATTTTTGCATCGTATTTTATAATTTTATAGCCTGTAAAATTGTGCTTATGAAGCCAGTAGAACTAGAGGACGATATTCTATAGCGTATGTCCTAAGAAAGATGCTGATAAATTGTTGAGTGACCTTTAAAATCTGACAGAACCATGTTGCTGCACAAACGTTAAGGCTTGGAGAGAATTGGAGGGGGGGGTGGGGGGTGGGAGGGGTCTTAAAGACCATCTTAGAAACTTTATCTTGACATTGAGTTTGTTCTCTAACTCCAGGGGCTTCATAAGCACAAGAGCTATTCAATTCAGAATGAGAGAATATTACTCAGGATGGAGCAATTGATAAGTTACATGTTCAAACATTTTATGGGTTCCCGACAAAAATGTCTTGAGTAAAGCGAAGAGAGAGAAAGTTTCATTCTTTGGATAACCGGTATTTAGGGTTCAACCCCTCCCCCGTGTCTTGAAGTAAGTGAAGAGTAATTCTCGAAAATAATAATAATCAAATAAAATAATCAAAATGTAGACATTTTTATCACATATAACCTGTTCTGGTTACAGAAGATTATCTGTATATAAAATATTCTTGTCTTTTTACTTGAATTTAGACAGTTAATAATGCCAAATTCCTACATAAACAATATAACTGCATATGTAAATGAATGACACGATACGACCTCCACATATAACGCCTGTGTATTAAGAAACTGTCACCTAAACAAATATTTAAATGAACTGATATGTGAAAACTATTTTTCTACCTCAGGAAAAATATTGTGTTGCATCTGGCGGAAAACAAATTTATAGTACACCAATGACATCATCAGCTTACCTTGACGTGCGTCATGTTGTGCTTCATTTCTACTGGAATCTGTATTTCGTGAACTTTTGACCACTTGAATCACGGCATAGAATAACAAAACTGTTCTGACAATCATTTTTACGAAGAGTCAACTACGTTCAAATATGTCGCCTAGTACCGGTGGCATGACAACGTCGTTGTGACGTCACAAACCATTGAGCTGTCCCCTCCATGACGTCACTTATAACAAGGCAACAATGGCGTATTGACAAGTAAAAGGGCGTTTCAGTGAAGCAAACAAGATTGTCATGACTGGCCGTTCATTGGATGGCTCAATAAACCAACCCCTTGTTGTTAAACTTGCTTTTTATTAGTGTAATTCAAATTTTATTTTTATTAATTTCTAACATCTATCGGTATGCTTGTTAATAAGAAATTTCATTTGGCTTTGCCTCCGTTTCTCTTTATATTTATCCCTCAATGAACTGCTAAGATTATCAATAGAATTTCAATAAAATATTTTAAGCCAAGGCAGTTAATAACGTCCGCATTTCACTACGCATACAGGTACATTGTTGCAATGCGACCCAAACTTATTCCAAGGGCATTTTTGTCCCACGTTTTTCACAAAATGATTTTTACAAGCACAGGGTCTGCTTTTGAAGAAAGCGCCGTTAAACAAATATTTAAATTCAACAAGGAGTTTTTAAATTGTAAGTCGTGAGGATTTTATAAATGCAGTTTATACATCACCACACTTAATAAGCTCCACCGTAAGTTTGTCTTAATTTTACTAGGAAGTTAGAATAAGTTAATATATCATAAAACCAACATTTTTTTTGTTCATTTTTTTATTCAAGCGCGTTTTGGCATTACAAGAAAAGCATTCATAGATGTTAAAGTGACAAAAAACTTTTTTCCAAAAAGAGACTTGAATTGGTTATTTCAGGGATTGACCCCGTTATTTTTATCAATTGAAAGCACAATGCGGTAATTACTCATTAAATTCAACTAAAATTTAGACAAATGTGAAACAATGAAGTCACTGTTGGCCTTAATTAAGAAATATTATCAAAATGCAGTGCATTTTAGAAGCACACTTCAATAGTATACACAAGCAATCCAAAAATTTATGGCGATAAAATGTTTGCTAAATCAGAAATTTTAAGTGAACCTATAGTCTTTTCTATGTCTTAGCATACAAAATACACTAACAAGGATAAATAACAAGTTTAAAATCTTGAATATATAATAGTTTAAGTATATTTATGTATAATTTTGTAAAATTTAGCCATTTCACTTAAGTTAGTGCTTTTCAATATACAGGAATGCAGCATCAACTAAGTTCTCTGTTGTTCAACTTCTTTCCCTTAAGTAAGATGGCATTATCTCTCAAAGGATGATGCTTCTGAAATAAGATTCCCCAAACACAAGAAAGCACTACAATATGCATCTTTTAGTCATGTACTCCATCATCCAAATTCATTTCAAAATGGCCACCAAAATTATCTGTGTATTTCACTTCTCCGTTCTCAATGTACCAAGAAGTGGCACTGATGGCGTCTTCTCTCTGCGTTATTATCATCGTTGTGTCATAGGTAATAGTGACATTACCATGGATATCCAGAGGGCTACCATCCAGTGATAACACAGTGAACCTGGCGTAGCCGCTTGCATGAACCTGGAGAGTAAAATATCAGTAAGTTATTCGTCATCATTTGACCTCTTATAGTAAGTGTATTTGAAGGACAGCTACAGATATAACTGCAGTTGAAGAAATGTTTAAAGGGATAATAACTTTGTTTCGGCCAAAAAATGAATTTTCCTGGAGTAAACAACAATTTTCCCATACTAACCAATGGTTAATGAATCCATCTTTACATTCAAAGTTAGTTCCTGGTTTTTTTCTTAAAAGTTTGGTTTTTTGTTAAAATCTCTTAAGAGATGTTAAAATCTTAAGAGATTTTAACAGACTATGGCCATCAATGGAGGTCACGTGGTCTAAAGACAAGCTCAGATATCAGAATAATAGCTATAACTGCCATTTTTGTGGTAAAACAGAATATATTATATTTCTATGAGTTGTTCACAATGTTTTTATTGTGAAATATAGATCTCATACGAAAAGTTATTATCCCTTTAAGTGACCTCACAATTGAGGTCCAGGGCTGTTTAAAGCGGAAAACTTTCAAGTAAAAGAACAAATTTCCACTTTAAATCCAAGTAAAAAAAAAAAAAAAAAAAAAAAAAAAAGGTCCAGTTACCTCTACCCAATAAAGCTAGGCTAATATAAGGTATTATAAAAATTTTATCTTGGTGGAGAAATATACAACCAGGAATTTAATAAATTAGAATCACTGGTTGGTCACCAAATATTTGAAAAATTATGCTTAAGTAACACCCTAGTTAGGAGAACACTCGTTGCACTGAACATCACAACTAACAAATTCCCACACAAATGAGTGAATATTCTCACCCTTCCATTGGTAGTGAATAGCCAAATTTTGTGCATTAAATAATAGAAACTTGCTATGTAATTTATGGCAATCCAGCCTTGTGATCTGAACCTGACATTTCCATTAAGAAACTGACCCTGATGAGCCTTCCTTGTGAAAGACCTCCAGATTGCATCTAAACACTGTATAAGTTTTAATTCCAATATTTGATTCACCAGTTTTCCTTTCAGTTTCTCACAATATTACCTTCGTGCTGATCTGTTTTATTAGTTCTGACCACTCCCTCTGGTGACCGCCATTGCGTATTCTGATCTCTGCCAGCAGAGTCCTCTCCTCAGACAGGAAGGTGATCTTGAAACCTGAAAAGACAGATATTCAAATAATGAATGGAAAAACATTTTGTTTGTGATGCTTAGGCCATACATTGAAACTTTCAACCATTTTTATGTAGCCCAACACTTTCCAGAAGTACCATACTTAGCGACTATTAAAATTGATATCTGATAGGAATCTTTTTTTTTCTGAAATCTCTACTCATTCCACAACAGATATTTTTAGAAAACTATTATTGGTCAATTCATTTGAATGTATGCAAATGCTGAACTTGGAAAATTACCAAATAACAGATTATTTTCAAAAGGTAAATTATACATGAATGCACCACAGGAATCCAATCACTGAAGTAACAAACTGACAGAAATCCATCACCTCAATAAGCATAACTACTATAATGAATTTTAATGTCATTGGTATACTAGATATACACATATCATCATTTTTCATACTGACTTTTTAAAGTGGATCAAAGCAATTTTTCCACTACCATTTAGTTTTTGAAAAGTAAATGTAATTATGCTCACTGTCATGGGAAGTTTGTTTCTTGAACTTCTGCTGCAGATGCTGCAAGCTGGCCATTTCATCTGGGCCCAGGATCATATTGGCAGAGGCTCCCCCTACACTTGTGTCTGTGTAGCTACTCTCTGTGCTAAGGTCATAGGATGCATCTTCAGTGTGAGGCTAAAGTGAAGCAAATTTGAATTAATAGATGTTTAAAACCTACTAGATACTTTTATTGAGCAAACAAAAAATTTACTCTATTAAGCAGAATTACTTTATGTCATCATGACCCAAATGCAATATCGCCTACTCCAATCAGAAGCTTTCTTGCATGATCTCCTACTTAAAAGTTAAAATGACAACTTATTAAGTTTAAGAGCTACAATGGCAAAAATTAAATACATAAGTTCTGCATTACCAACCAATTCCAACACTGGTTTATATTGATATACAAACTCATCCACATGCTTTTAATAGCCAATTTGATTGCCCTGTCACAACCTACCACTGCGCCCTCTATTTTGTCAAACACTGAGAGATGGAGCATGCTGGACTCTGGGGACTCTGTGCCGGACTGAGACATTTGGTCCACTTGGTACTTGGTCAGAGTCTCTGAAATAAGACCCAACACCACTGGTCAGTTAGTCTGTGCTTGCAGGGGGTTCAAACTCATCTCCCCTATTTGAAATCTATAGCATTCTCTCAAAACTTCATATAAATCAACTGCTAAAACTGAATGCTTTAAATAAGACTGCATTGTAGGCAGGGAAATTTAAGAACATCAGTGTGATATAATTTCGATATCAAGACAACTTCATATTTCACCTGGCATCTTTAAGTCTACATCTTAAGGGGAACAAGACTGCACAGGCATGGATAAAACAGCATTAACATTTTTTTTTTTGAAAATACAATGCACCTGGACAAAACAGGAAAAAACTTACCCTCCAGTAATCTTTCCAATTCTTTATCACTTTCCTCTTGACTCAACTTGGAGCTCTGTCTGGACACATCGTGACCGCTAAGTGACCGGTACCTCGACAACTCTGTTGCTGAGGAAGACATGTGACTGGGTGGTGTCCCATACACCCCAGTGCTGCTACTTCCACTGCGCAGCCTCTCACTGGAGTTGGAGTGTCCCAAAATGGGAGTTGCAGGTTGACTCTTTGGACTTGCCCATCCAGGGGTGTTGGATCTTGAAAAAGGACTTGATCGTCCCATAGAATGGGCACTAGATGGTGTTGAGGTGGCCCGTGAGGCAGGGCCTACATGTGTGGTCCTTGTGGACATGGCTCTTGTGTTGAACACGTTTCCAGGTCTTGCGGGACTCAAAAAATCCCAGGGGCTTCCTCTACCGGTTGTGGCAGATTTCCTTCCAGTTGGTGTAAAGCATCTGTCACCCAATGCTGTGGAAGAACCTGTGAATGTCCCTGTCATCTGCTGGGGATATGGGGATGACCCTTTCTTTGCCAGGGGCTGCTGAAGTCCTTGCTGTGGTATATCTGTCATTTCCTGCTGGCCCTGGATCTCATGAGCACCCAGTCGAGCTGGGCTGGATTCCCTTCTTCCAGCTGGTCTATGAACCCCCTCAGAAGAACCTGGGGCAGATGATGATCTTGTTCTTTTGTCATCAGAGAAACCCAATTCTGATTGGCCACTGGTCACATGGGAAATATTCAAATGTAAGTGTCTGGGTGACTCTTGGGATTTGGACTCACAGCTCGTGTTGCTTTTGTCCTGCAATGTTGTACTAGTTGAGTTAGGTAATTCTGCTACCACAAGGGGTATCAAGGGTAGAGAAGAAGGTGCTGCTCCCTGCTGGCCATTGCCATGGAGATCCTGTTGATTTTCAGCAGAGGGATTTGGCTGAGTGGCATCTGGGTTGGGCATCTGGTATGAAATCTTCTCAGTCATGGTGGAAACACTGGATGACATACTTTTCTCAAAAACGCTCAGCACGGGAAGTTGAGGTGACAGAGACTTTCTATTCATCAAGGGCGATACATCATTTGCTGACATCTGTACTCTCTCAAATTCCAAAGGAATACTGTCAACTTCTCCAGAGGGAGCCATTTTCTGCATTGTCACATCAGGAGGTGGACAAGATGTCTGTGACATATCTTCAACTTTCTGACCACCAGATGTAGATGTTGCAGGTTGATCAAACCCAGGGACCTTTTCTCCTTGTGCTGAAACACCTAGGTCTGTAGGCTCCCCCTGCCTTTCTGCCTCTCCCAGTGGTGCCACACTGTCCCCTTCATCAACAGGCCCAGGACCATAAAGCTCATCACTTTTGATGCCTCCCAGCTCTTCATCTATTGGTAACAGAGCCTGGAAGATACTGGAGCTCATTGGACTCTGCAGCTGAGAGACACTTTCTCCAAGTGCTGGTACATATCTGCTGTTATTGTTGGAGTTGTTGTTGTCTTGTCCAGTGCTAAGGGCCAAGGACATTGGCTGTCTAGGTAACTGACCACTGGGCTGGGCAACTGGTCGATAGGTTTTCTCATCAGACCCACAACCGGTCACTTCGGGGGAGTGATGACCATGGGGATGGTTTTGACCTCTGACAAGATGGTTTTGCTGTTGACTGGGCACAGACTGGCCCTGTGGTGTCCAAGTGCCCTGTCCAGTAAGTCCTGTACTTTGTTGGTCATCATCCACAATGCTGCCTTGTGATTTAGAGANGATAGGTTTTCTCATCAGACCCACAACCGGTCACTTCGGGGGAGTGATGACCATGGGGATGGTTTTGACCTCTGACAAGATGGTTTTGCTGTTGACTGGGCACAGACTGGCCCTGTGGTGTCCAAGTGCCCTGTCCAGTAAGTCCTGTACTTTGTTGGTCATCATCCACAATGCTGCCTTGTGATTTAGAGAACATGCTGCTTTCATCTTGGTTCTCGCTAGAAAGTGCACCACTTGGGTTTTGAATAGATAACTGGGACTTGAAGCCCTCCTCAGCCTTTGACAGGGTCAGATCTTCCAGAAAAGCTGGCACAAAACTAGCAGGTTGTTGTTGGTGCGACTCATCATTTTCACTGGAAATCTTCTCCTCATCTTCAGTAGGTGACTTTCTTCTGACCTTTTCCTTGGTTTCAGATTCTTCAGTATCCTGCTTCTCGGGTATGCTGTTGCTGCTTTCCTCATCTTCATGTCCTCTGTTTGGTTCTTCTGGATCTGTTAAGGCATGTCCTTGTTCTGACAGTGGATACTGTCCCAACTGTGGACTCCCTGTTTGTGCTGGATGTGACACAGACGATTGCGTTAGATGAGCCTCACCACCAGATTGTGTTCCAGATGTGAAATGAGCTACAGAGAGGGTGTGCTGGAACAATGCCTCCAGGTCGGGAACTGTGGTGGTTTGGTCAATTTCCTGGTGCTGTTGTTGTTGTTGTTGTTGCTGTTGTTGTTGTTGCTGCTGCAATCCTCTTTGGTCTATATTCAGCTGGAGACTCTGGAGCTGTTGCTGTTGCTGCTGTTCTTGTTGCTGCTCTTGTGATCCATGTAATACAGGATACACTTGGTAAACCTCAGGCTGTGATGGACCTGAAAATACCAAATCACATGCTTTAAATAAAAAGTGGACATTTTTTTGGCCATAAATTTAGCAGCTCTTCCTCACTAAAATCAAACAAACCAGGTAAATTACACATCCCTAAAGTTTTATCTTGTAACATTCCTAGTTTTTGAATTCAACCCTTGATAAAAAGTGGACATTTTTTTCTGGCAAAAAATTATGCAATTGTTCCTCTCTAAAATCAGTCAAAACTCTTAAATTAAATAACTTTTATCTTATAACATTCCTAGTTTATAAATTAAATATGCTGACTGGTGACCAATTAATTTCTTTTTAGACTTAGCAAAAACAATGAAATGTTGAGACGTTTAAAATATGGTGACCGAAAGAGGGCAGCACAGTCAAAAGACAAACCTCTCCAGGTCAACAACTCCTTCTCTGCCAACAGAGAGAATGCTGGGTGTTTCAGGAGATTCTTGGCTGAGGGACGTTTCTCAGAGTTGGTCTGCCATCCTTGTAAAATCAAATCGTGAATTTTGGGGTGCAGATTGCTAGGTATGTCTTCAGTTGGGGGAGAGTTCATTTTGATCTGAAAATGTTACAAAATAATTCACACATTTCATTTTTCAATGGGATTTTAGCTTGCCAGTAACTCTATTCTTCAGTTAAATCAATCACAGCAAGAACATTCTTCAGTTAAATCAATCACAGCAGGAACAATGAGAAAATTGTATAAATAAATGAGGCAAGATCTTGATGAGAGAATGATGTCAAACAAGATGCAATGGGAAGGCATGTCAAGAAAAATCAGAAAAATCAATGAAAAACTCCACTTAGTTTGGGCTGACACAAAATCAAATAGCTCAGACTTTAAATACAATGCGACAGATATAGTCCTTTGTGAAATGTAAAAAAACAGTGGTTGTTAAAAATAGAACAAGTTATATAAACTTACAATGAAGTGTAATAGTCCTGCGCCAGGATACCTACGCACCCATGGATGGTGTCCCGTCAACATGTGAATGAACACGCAAATGGCCGCCCAGACATCAGAGCGGCAGTCATGACCCTCGCTGGCAGCTTTTTCTGGGCTCCACTGGGTTTGGGCTCCTATTGGCCTGTGCCCAGGAGACAACACCCTCTGGTGGCGTCCCAGACGCCTGGACAAACCAAAGTCAGTGAGGGCAATGTGGAGGCTCTCTGCCTTCAGTAAGATGTTGTCAGCTAGAGAGTCAATAATATTTGGTGTTATTGATGATCAGATAAAATCTTTCTGAATCAATATTCTTGTGTGTTTGTCATCATCTATTCATCATGGACGCAAAACAAAAAAGTAAATTGGTGATCACAGTTTTTAGCCATCTCTTATGTTAGCTATTTGAAGGAATTGTTATTTTACTTAGCTGAAAAATTTCAAGCATTATTCTAAATCAATTTAAAGACAAGGAGGTTGTAAGTACAACTTTGGGAAATCACTGATACATTTTTGTATAAAATATCTTCATTATATCACTTTGCTATTGCAAGTTAAAAATGACAACCCACTTTTTTGTTGTGGTCAAAATGACTGATAAAGCTCAGAATTTTATGCAGTGACTTGGAAATGACCCCTTTTTTTCAGGTGAGGCACAAAATGGCCTTTTTTTCAGTAGAGCAACAGTCAGTGATGAGAGAAGATTTAGAAAAACAAACAAAACAGAAAATACCAGCACTGATTTCTGGATAAATCTGGAAGCCTATCATCTCGAAAGAGTTAATGTGAAATTGCCCTCTATACCTTTCAAGTCTTCGTGGATTATTCTCTTCTCGGCAAAGTAGACCAGTACTTCCAGGACCTGTTGTAAGTACAGCAGTGCCGCCCAGGGACTGAGACACTCCTGGCTGGTGATGAACTCTGTCAGTGAGCCACCTGGTGGTAAAGACAATGAACTATTGGTTTGTTCTTATATATTAAACTGAAAACAAAAATCCATTGTATAGCTGGTGGAAAAATGGAAGGCAAATCACAATACAAAACTTTGAATTACATAGAGCATGAAAACCTTTTGGCTTGTGATAAACTGTTGGGGTGATATCTGGAAAGAGTAACATCACAAAGAATCATCACAAAAATCTTTAGAATTTTTAAAATTAATTTAAATATTTTTTATTCTGGTACAAGCACATTTTTCACAATGACAGTGACCTAATTATACTTATTGAAACTAATGCACCATTGTGTAAACAATTTTTCTCTTCCCTTCTCTTTCACTTTTTTTTTGTCAGCTCACCTTCCATTAGCTGCATAAAGATGTAAACTTTACGCCCAGTTCTGATTGCCCCATACAGCTCGACAACATTCGGGTGCTGAAGGTCTGCCCAGATAATCAGTTCTTCCTCATTGTAATTCAACAGGTCCACCTAGAATGTAATAGAAAACATCATGATAAACAAGAACTATACAAATTATTTGATAAATATTCTGTTTCTGGGATTAATTCACTGTCACCAGTTTTACCTANATTGGCCAGACTTTAAATACAATGCGACAGATATAGTCCTTTGTGAAATGTAAAAAAACAGTGGTTGTTAAAAATATAACAAGTTATATAAACTTACAATGAAGTGTAATAGTCCTGCGCCAGGATACCTACGCACCCATGGATGGTGTCCCGTCAACATGTGAATGAACACGCAAATGGCCGCCCAGACATCAGAGCGGCAGTCATGACCCTCGCTGGCAGCTTTTTCTGGGCTCCACTGGGTTTGGGCTCCTATTGGCCTGTGCCCAGGAGACAACACCCTCTGGTGGCGTCCCAGACGCCTGGACAAACCAAAGTCAGTGAGGGCAATGTGGAGGCTCTCTGCCTTCAGTAAGATGTTGTCAGCTAGAGAGTCAATAATATTTGGTGTTATTGATGATCAGATAAAATGTTTCTGGATCAATATTCTTGTGTGTTTGTCATCATCTATTCATCATGGACGCAAAACAAAAAAGTAAATTGGTGATCACAGTTTTTAGCCATCTCTTATGTTAGCTATTTGAAGGAATTGTTATTTTACTTAGCTGAAAAATTTCAAGCATTATTCTAAATCAATTTAAAGACAAGGAGGTTGTTAGTACAACTTTGGGAAATCACTGATACATTTTTGTATAAAATAACTTCATTATATCACTTTGCTATTGCAAGTTAAAAATGACAACCCACTTTTTTGTTGTGGTCAAAATGACTGATAAAGCTCAGAATTTTATGCAGTGACTTGGAAATGACCACTTTTTTTTCAGGTGAGGCACAAAATGGCCTTTTTTTCAGTAGAGCAACAGTCAGTGATGAGAGAAGATTTAGAAAAACAAACAAAACAGAAAATACCAGCACTGATTTCTGGATAAATCTGGAAGCCTATCATCTCGAAAGAGTTAATGTGAAATTGCCCTCTATACCTTTCAAGTCTTCGTGGATTATTCTCTTCTCGGCAAAGTAGACCAGTACTTCCAGGACCTGTTGTAAGTACAGCAGTGCCGCCCAGGGACTGAGACACTCCTGGCTGATGATGAACTCTGTCAGTGAGCCACCTGGTGGTAAAGACAATAAACTATTGGTTTGTTCTTATATATTAAACTGAAAACAAAAATCCATTGTATAGCTGGTGGAAAAATGGAAGGCAAATCACAATACAAAACTTTGAATTACATAGAGCATGAAAACCTTTTGGCTTGTGATAAACTGTTGGGGTGATATCTGGAAAGAGTAACATCACAAAGAATCATCACAAAAATCTTTAGAATTTTAAAAATTAATTTAAATATTTTTTATTCTGGTACAAGCACATTTTTCACAATGACAGTGACCTAATTATACTTATTGAAACTAATGCACCATTGTGTAAACAATTTTTCTCTTCCCTTCTCTTTCACTTTTTTTTTGTCAGCTCACCTTCCATTAGCTGCATAAAGATGTAAACTTTACGCCCAGTTCTGATTGCCCCATACAGCTCGACAACATTCGGGTGCTGAAGGTCTGCCCAGATAATCAGTTCTTCCTCATTGTAATTCAACAGGTCCACCTAGAATGTAATAGAAAACATCATGATAAACAAGAACTATACAAAATATTTTTGATAAATATTCTGTTTCTGGGATTAATTCACTGTCACCAGTTTTACCTAGAAACAACCGCCACTGACATTATTCTCCCTAATCTTTCCTTTTCACTTCAAAAGCAGGACATTTTGCCTAAGGCAGGAAATCACCAACTGCAATAGTGCTGTGGACTTACCTTCTTCACACAGAAGCTGAATTCGTTGTTGAAGTCCTGGGCAATATGGCACCTCCCTGCTACACCGCTGCCCAAATACGTACACTTATACCACTGTGAGTCCTTCTCATAGCGGTCGTTGATAACCTTCAGGTCCTAGAAAGATCCCAACAGAACCTCTATGAGAGAGCTTTGTAAAGTAAATGGTGGTAATTTTCAGGCCTTATCATAGGCTCTATTCCCATAGATTTTAGATCGATCTATCCCCGCGGGGAGTCTCACTAGATTACTTTCAGATAATCCGACTTAAATGTCCGTCCCGCCTACTACAAGCTCTAAGGGGATAATTAACTTTCGTGTCCGCCCGGCTGACAGCTATTTAGCGTGAACCCCCAGGGAGTTAGGTCGATCTAAAGTAGGTCGATCTAATCTATGGAAATGGGGTGATAATTACAAAATGCGGGGAATGCAGTGAACCAAACACTTTTAAAGTGAAGCGCTTCAAAACATCACAAGTACAAATATATTTCTTTCTGATCTTTTACTCTAATACACAATGTTGTATGTTGACATACAACACCTTTCAATCATCTTGTTATTACTTGATAATCACTGCAACGTCAATTCACCTAAATGTAAATATATAAACATAATCTGTAACAGTGTACCAACTAGTATTGCCTTTGTTGAAATTATTTTGCAATTCTACTGGAACCTTGTTACAGATCACAAACATACTACTTTGTTACAAACCAAACACAAGCTACTTTGTTACAGATCCAGTAGTTACCATGTTTCAGATCAAACATTTTATAAAGGTGTTACAGACATTTTTCATCCCTAGAGAATTGCACCAACCTCCTTTATTATAATCCCCTCCTCCTTTCTGCCAGGTGGCATCATCTTCCCAGCAGCCACATGGTCCCGAACCTTTGTCCAATACTTGGCCAAATCTTTCAGATTTCGCGGGGTTCCATATGCCACTTCCCCGACACCAGGGAGATGTCTGCTGGCTGCCCTCACTGAGGTAATTCTGTTTGGCTCGAACACTTGTGTCTTCAGCTGCACGGGTAGACTTGCGATGCTGTAAGGTTGAGTGTTCACGGGCGGGAGGGCATTATCATTATATGGGAGGTCAAAAGTCAAGTGATCGGGGGATGGGCTGAGTGGCACCGCTGACTCGGGTTGTGGAGACAGCAGAGCCCTCTGCTGTTTCTGAGATGCCATGTCCTTGCTCAAGTAAACACGCAGCTCCTCCCTGGTGGCGCTCTGCAGATCTTCCATGTAGCTTCGCAGTGCAGTCTGGTTGTCTGTGTCGTCTTCCCCCATTGGTTCAAATTCAACATGGCTGCCAGGCTGGTTGTAATTAGGCAAAACTCCTCCACTGGGAACATCAGCCTGGTCCAAACGAAAACCAGAATCATCATCGTTACCTCGCAGGAAGCTGGAGAGGGCCTCTTGGTTGTGCAAGGACTCAGTCTCCTCTGGAAAATTCAAAGATGGTGGGTTCTGTGTCAGATGAATGGCCTCAACGCGTAAGGCTGCAGCTTCTTGGTAAATTCTGTCTAGAGTTTCCTTCACATCTGCTGGGGCGTTCTCAGGAGCACGTGCTGGTGCATGTGCAGGAGCAGCAGGTACGACGACATCCTCGGTAAAACCGGCTTTTCCAGTCTTGCCAGAAGTGTACCTGGCAAATGAAAGCGGTGTTTTGCCTCCACCATCCGTCTCTGTCCTTCCCCCTGGAGGTGTGGGTGTGCCAGTTCCAGGCAAATTTCTTCCACCTGCTACAGAAACTGAAGCTGAGACAGCCAGTCCCAAACCCTGCAACCCCCTGGGACTGAGGGGTGGGAGACCCTGGGGGACAGATTGTGGAGGGCCCATGGAAGTTGGTGGTGGGGGGTGCAATGCAAAGTTTTCACTGATGGGCTCCATCTTTGGCTGATATCTTTTTGTGCTTCCTGTGCGACGGGGCTGTCCTTTCCCTGGTGGAGGTTGACCTCTGACCTCCTGACCCCCATCTGCTTGTTGAAGTCTGTTAAAGCTTGGAGGGTTGTCTTCAGCATTCTGATTAGCTGACCCAGGAAGAGAAAGGACATCAGGTATATCCTCGCCCAATGACAGGAGACTTCTCATACTGTCGCTCTGCAGGAATTCCAGGCTTCCGAGAGAAAGACGACGGTGCTGACGACCGAAGTTCTTCTTAATGGTGTTCCAAACAATATCCTGTCTTTTAAACATACGATTGCGTGAATCGTACAGTTTTCTTCTGATCCTTCCACACAGCTCTGAAAGACAAGGCAGTATATATATATATATATATATTTGACCAACCCAGACAACAATGCTATTTTCATTCTCAACTCTCCGACTGATACAAAATAAAAACTTCAGAATAAGATTTTAGCCAGCAATAATATAAAATCAACTATTGTTTGAGGAACAAATCATTGATCGACTTCTCACAGCTTTAAAACTTGTGGGAATTGTTTTACCCAAGTAAATCTTCCCAACACTTTTAAAGACAGAAAACTCTATACTCACCCATAGAGCAACTACAAGTGCCATTCAAGTCGTCCTCAACACATCTGTTAATGTGATACATGAACAAGTTAAACAGGGCCTCACAACTTCTGCACACCCTTCTTGTGTCAACACAGCGACCAACATGGCGGCATAAAAAGGAGAGGTGGTCGCAAATTTCACAATCAGTTTGGTTCCCAGCAGCAGGTCCTGAAATATCAAGATCACACTTTTGATAAAAATTTTGAAAGAGCAGATGAAAATGGCTGAAAATGTTAGAATGAACTTTTGAAACAAATGTGTCTCCTGAAAAGAAGGACAAGGTCACACTGTTCTGATACAATCCCATCCTTTTTTCAAATATAGAACTAATGTTATGCTCACAAGTTTGAAACACACAGACATCTAGATAGTTTCCATAACCCTGTAAGTGATGCACTTTTGGCCGTGTTATAGGGGTGGAAAAATCAGTGGCTTGGGAGCAAAGAGCAGAAAATATCAACGTAATAATCACAAAGTAATAAATAAATAAATAAATAAATAAATAAATAAATAAAACATGTCCGTCTTTACCTGTGGTCAACCAAAACTGCAGACACAAGTTTAATTCTCTAAAAGCCTGCTGCTGTATGTGGTGACTGTCCAACTGTTCCTGTGGCACCATGTCATCTTCTCCGCCTGGATCAATATTCACCTTCAGCTAAAAATAATAAAACAGATACAATGTATACATGTGTTGTGTTTAGCTTTGGGTGGAGAAAATTGACTACTTTGGGACAAAATTATTAGAATAGTTATGTTTAAGTCTCATATCACGAGAGAAGCATCAGGGTGTCTGCTTAAAGGTCCACCAGTGCTCAGCGAACTCTGGGCATTTAGTCAAATTCTGAGGTTTATGGGTGTTGGTGTACCTGTAAGCGATTCTCACTGAAAACTGCTTATGTTTTTAAGCAAAATATGAAAGTATTGGTCAACTTAAAGGTACATACGAACCGAGCATCGGTGGAGTGTGGATTCTGAGTAACACATGTAAACCACTTCTAGTAGATTCTTATACGACTCAAATAAATTCGAATTACCAAGGGATAAACTGAATAGATCACTCGATCAGCCATAAAATACCTTTAGACTGCTCCTTTCTTTAAATTTATGGTTGTAAATTTAACCTACTTCCGTGACCTACTTTCCTACCCCATTGACATACAGCTTAGAATGCCAGCAGAAAAATCTGTTCAAACATCATTTTCGGGTAAAATTAAACAATGCCTTTTGGTAATTCTCTTAGTTATACTACTTGAAACTATATGCTGGCATTTGGTTGGTTTTTGTGACAACAAATTGACTTTGTATGCATCTTTAAACCTTCAGTATGTACCAAACAAATTGCAATCAGTGTGCATCTGTTTATAGTACTTATGAAAAGCAAAAGAAACTTCATAAGAGGTCATAAGAAATATAAATCAACAAACTGCTTACAAACAACCAGTAATTATCACACTACAAAATGTAACCTTACCCATCCAATAGCAGTGGTTATGTCCATATCCTTCAATTCACCATGTTGCCTACCATCTTTCTTTCGTGGCCACTTATAATCTTTCTTCACGAGTCCGTTACGGAGACTGTCCCTGTTACTGTGGGGTCTGCTTTGATCTCCTCCTCCTTCATCATCAAACCCATCCTCCTAAAATCAAATAAATGTGTTTCAGGGAAAATCACATTAACTGTAACTGGACAAAAATAAATAAATAAATTAATTAATAAATAAATAAATAAATTAATTAATAAAATTAAATATATATTCTTGAGAATCAAAAATCCGTCATAACCCATGATTATGCAAACAAATACACATTACCAAGAGCAGAATTACTATTCAGGTAGTCATGTTTTGATGTAAAAATGGGAAATTGGGCAATTCTTTGAAACTTAAGAAGAAAGGCTTGAATCTGTTACACCCATTATTTTTGTTCCACTTTCCAAACATTTATGTTCATTTCTAAATAAACTAAAGACTAATTTCAAACTACTTTCCTGGATGCAAAATAAAATATTGGGTATGACAACTGAGATCTAAAACACATGTTTGTTTCTTGATATTGCAAGTTGCATAAGATACTAACTGACCTCCTTTCCTTCACTGTTTAAGTCTCTTTGACCACCATCTTTCCCTTGGTCTTTTGAATTGTTCTAAAAAAATATGAAAATTACAAAATAAACTTCTATACAATAAAGTTAATAAATTTTGCATCTAAAAAATACTAATGGCAGAAACAAACGCCTTAATTTAACAGTCAAACCATAAATATATGCACCACATTTTATATTTGACTTGGTTAGTCAGAAAAATAAAACTTCATATGACCACACTTGCCCAATAAAGTATAATAAAGAAAAGCATTTCCTACTAATATATTAATAGTAACACTAACTTGCAAAAACAAAAACGGACCCCTAACCCCAGCAAGTAGGCCTATAAACTCAATATTTTCCTGAACTCACTGTTTTTCCAAATCCTCTGCTGTAATCCCCACCACCACCGCCACCGCCAGTGGCACCAGTACCTTCACCATCACCACTGTCTTCAGGTGGACCACACCCTGTTTCGTCTCCACGTCTGCGGTGGACCACCCTGAGACTGTTGAATGCTTTTGACCCTGAACCTTGGTCAAAATGTGGTGAATCAGGGATAAATCTTGGCTTTGACATCTGCTTATGGGACCCTCTATGTAACCATCTATCAGTGTAACTGTTAGGAGGTCCAACCTCCCCGCTGATGCTTGGCTCTTCTTTCCTTTTCTTTTCTGTATTTCCATTTTCCCTTCTCTTCTTCCTCTGGGGTTTTTTCATCTTTCTGGTTAAGCTGGCCCTGCTGGTTTGACCAAAAGTAGTCGTGCAGGTCAATGAAATGATCTGACCATGACCTTTACCATGACCCTCAATGTTGACCTTTGGTTTTCTTGTCTGTGCTTCTGGGTTTCTCTTCTTCTTTCCGTTTTTAGCAGCTCTGGGTACTGTTGCAGAATTCTTGACGCCGTTGTCTGCCTCTGGCTTCTGACCCTTGCCTTTCTTACATTTTCTTTTCTTCTTAGATTCACTCCCTCTAGATGTGGTTTCTCTTTTGATGTCTTTTCCATTGCCACTGCTACATGGAGCCCTGTTGCTGCTGCTGCTGTTGTTGTCATCAGGTGAAGTGCTGTTCTTGGTCTCAATGATGACACTGCTCTTGTGGATGACATCACTGTCATTCTGTGTGCCAGTACCTGGGAAGCACATACTGCCACCTGTTGCTACAGAAAAGCATTAAATGAAAAATACAATTGGTAAAATTCAATGAATTTAAAGACTAACTTTAATATAAAGGTGTTTGAAAATAATTCTTGTTTTTGCCTTTTTGTTAGTTTATATTTTATTCAAAGTCATTAGAACTCTTTGTTTTTCAAATCTGAACATAGTCTTAATCATCTTTTAGGAAAATGATGTTTGTAAATATTTATCAAGTCTTAAATTAAATTAATTTGAAATTAAAGATATTTTCTAACGAAAACCTTTGGAACCTCTTATTCTTCATTTCACCAAAATAGCTTTAATTGTGAAAACATACTGAATCATAATATTTTCAAGCAACTTAGCCTTTTCTTTAGCCAACTTAAACACTTCAAACCATAAATAAAAAAATTAAGTATCTTCTCACCAGAGACGGTGTTGCCTTTTGGTAATTTCTGTTCAATGTCCTCTGTTTTCTGCTGTGGAACATTAAAATTGAACTCTGGACAACTAGACACATCTGCAATGAAAAACAAAATTCAATCAGGTTAAAAAGACATACCTTTAATAGTTTGAGCAATCTGGTTTTAACTACTTTGCTTCACCATTAAATATATATATATAACCTACCACAATCTGATGCAATCACTTGATTCTAACATTGCACTGAACTGTTAAAGCACAACTGAGAGGACAGAAGGAGTAACACCCAATTTAAGTCCTTCAGGTCTTTGTTCAAAATTCACCATAAAAACTAAAAATATCAGTAAACCCCCAGATAACAAAGAGGTAAATTTTTCATCATCACCAATCTGAGACAAAGATGGCAATGTTTCAATTCGAAACATCTGCTTGGTAGTTCTTTTTTCTTTTTTTTTTTTTTGAATCTAGAGTTCACAAAATAACTTATAAATCATAATTCTCACATTAAAAGAGGGGCAATCTCATCAGCAGCAACTAACTTTTAAGTTTAAAAATTAAAATTTTCAAAAAGGGAAAGTCCAGTGGTCAAGGTTAATTTAATTTCATTCTTCCATGCTTATTGAAAAAATCATAATATTTTACCACCTGCTCCTAATTCCCTCACCTTACCAAAAGTACTAACTCAATTAAGAACTATTTCTGAGTCATGCAGTCCGACAAGTGCAGGTGAAATGTAAATAAGTTCATTTGCATCTTCAAATATAGTGAATGGGGATTTTTTTCTGTCACAAGCAAAGTTGAGCTTTGGGGAATTTGCATCATCTCATCCTGATAAGACATGATGTAATATTACATAGTATTGTACATTAATCAAAGGCTAGCTTCCAGACAAGTTAAAACAGCCTAACTTGGTTATGGATCAACCCATCTGAGCTAGCCTTCCATTTATGATTAGTTCTCTAGAGACAGCAAATCTAATCTGCCTGTTGTCCTGCTTATTACCACAGTCACTGAGCTGTATACAAGCTATTTGATATTGACATCCTAAGGTGATGTGTTCATATTTAGATGCACTGCTGTGATGGAGAGGCTGAATGTCAATCTTATTTGACTGGAACCACAACACAGGGTTGTGCCCAGTCACCACATTGATCAAAACATTCTTAGTTTTTTTGGGGGAAAATTGGATGTTTTAATCCATTTTCAACATTCAACAGCCATAATATTTGCTTTTGTTATTTTATTTCTGAAACCAGATAAAGGGTTTTGAGCCAATTTAAGCTGATATGAAATATTCCAAAATATTTGGTGAATTGGGGTAAAACAAATTTGTTGTAAATGGAACAAGGGAGACCAAAAATAGCAAAATATTGGATTTTTTCCTGAACAAATATGACAAATAACTGCTAAGGCAAACATAAGCTCCATTTAATAGACTTACACACATACATAAAACAAATACATACCCTTTGGATTTGCAGATGACACTGAAACTCTCCCAGATTCCTTATGAAAGCCATCTTTTCCAGTCTCAGATTGCCCTTGATCCTTTAAAATCGACTCTTTCTCAAATGGAGGCAGGATAGTTGTCTCAGTATCCATGGCAACAGGTGATGGCCTTATGCACTCTCTGGGCGAACCATCTCGGAGTCCTTTGAATACACCTTTCTGGTCCTGGAGAGCCAAATTCTTCAAGATGATCCTGATCTGTGGCATTAGGGAACTCAGTATCTCTTTCTTGCTCAGAAGTTTAATAACCTGAAGGAGCTTGGGCACACCTATGATTAGAAATTATAATTATGTGTATGGCAAACTGTGATCCAATTTTAGCTAAAAGACTATTCTTAGTTTTAGTTTCAGGAAAATGAATAAGACTGTACAGAATATTTCGATTAAACAAAAATGAGTATATCATTAAATGACCTGAAAGTAAACACATTGTCAATCTTTATACCTTCGTCCTGCACTTCTGGGATTACGTTTAGCGTCATGTTACTAAGCTGCTTCAACGTCTTTTTGTTAGCAGGACACACATCTGAAGTATACACTTCTTTTTCATCAGCAAAGCCAGCTGCACGCTGCAAGGAGTTGGCCACATCTTTCTCCACTCTGCACTGTAAATGCTCTTTTGCAGTGGGACTAATGAAGAACTTCTTGGATATTTCTTGGTTGCCACGGAGATCAGCTCTGTTGCCATAGCTACTTGGGTTATCGTGCGTGCCTTCCAACAATCTTTTCTCTTTGGAAGACCCATCACCTGTGTCTACTGCAAGCTTTGCAGGCCCATTCTTCATGCTCTCTTGGACACTTGGTTGGTGTTGAACGGCACTGGAAAAAACTCTGCGTATACCAAACTCGTCCTTCTCAAGTAAGCTCTCCAGGGTTCCTTTTTCAAGTGGCTCTTCAAACAACATTTTACCCCCCTTCGTAAGCATTACTTTTGGTTGTTGCATACCCTCTTCTTTTCGGACCTTAGGTTTTATCGTCTGGATTGGGGTTGACTTCTGTAAGTAACCGCCCAACTCCCAAAGGTGGCCAGATTCAAAAGACTCCAGCGCTGTTATAGAGCACTCATGTTCCTGGGGACCGGAGTTTCTTCGGAAACTTAGGGATTTTGGTTCCCGTTTCTCAAGATCCAAGACTGTGAGAGGAATCATGGAATGCTGCTCTGTCTTCTCCAGAGCAATCTGATCTAAGCTTGGCTCATCTGCCGCAATCTGATTTCTATTTGCTTGCTTTTCTGTAAAATTGTGAAGAAATTGCTTAATCTTTTACTTTAACTACGCAAATCATCTGCAATAAATGGTAATGCATCATGTAAAAAATATGCTAAGAAACCTATACTACTGGTCCTTTATGTGAACATTTCAGTTTCCTAATAAAAGGTGATGTACAGAAAAAATTCTTCCAGGTGCTGAATGCTTTCATGAAATGAAAATGTGATTTTTTTAAACTGGATAATGGTAATTAAAATAACAATATTGATAGTAATTATTATTAAAACTATCTAAGTAAAACTGTAAATAAAATACCTTTAACGCTTTGGTTATTTTCGGATGCTAGCAAATCTTCAACGGGTTTTTCTTGGTCACTTTTCTCTTTTTCCTCTCCTTTTAGAATGTAAGAGACTTCTTTTCTGGAAGTGCATGAAGTCTGTCGCTTCATCCTACAAAAATGAAAAAGTATACATACAGACTATACATATATATTAACATAGCCCACATAGTTTGTTAAGTTATCTTAGTCATCTTACTAAGACACACCATAACCCTAAAATAAATTAACAGGTTCTTATGAATTAATTATATTTGAAGTTCTCATGAATTATATTTGGAAAGTCGTTTACTCATGTTTCCCTATAATTTATTCTTGTCAAATTATACTGATGACTTAGAAAAAAAATGAACTGTTAAAGAATAAAAATTTCAGGATATTAAACCATTTGTTTTAATCTATGTTTTCAGACTTGCCTCATGGCTTTGCTTGCCCCTTTTTTCTTCAGTCTTGGCCTGGCCAAAGTGCCCATCTCCACAGGTATTTCACAGTTCTTCTTCTCAACCATAGATGGAGCCACCATACAGTCTGCCATCTTGCCATCATCTGGCTGGACATGAAATGAGCCTCTATCCTCTACCAATTTATATGGCAAGTCTTCAAGCTGATGAGCTTTTTCCTGCCCATAGCCACTCCGGAAAAACTGCTCCTCATGGCTAACACGATCATCATTAAACTCATTGCTCATCAGCTTCATCGTGACAGTATATACTCAGTCTGTATATATATCACTGTCAATGTTTTAATGTCAATATGTTGACTACTCACATAATGAATACCAAAAATATCACTGTCATTATTCTCGTTCAACAAAGGATGTTTTCTTCCTTCCAATACATCTGAAATACCAAGGAAACAATGTAATTAGCGTGACTTGTCAAAATAATATTGCTGGGGTAGTGCTAGCAATTTTTTTCTCTTAACCAAATCCCTACCTTTTTATCACTTTTCCAAATGGTTAAAATTTGACTTTAACAAGTGAAATCAAACCGATTTTGTTTAGCCAGTTTAAGTCAGTTTTAGCATTTAGCTTTACTGTAAACACAACAACATGTGGAAAGCAAGATAACAGACCCTCCAAGCAAGATGGTGTTCAGTTGCTCTATGAAATTAAATTTTTGTCTTAACTCCCACTTTTCTATATTTAATCCTAAGCATTGTCTTAGAATAAAAAAGGTTGCTCAACAAAAGAATATCCTGTCACTGCTGCCTTTGATTTATTTAAATTAATTCCCTGTACTTATTCCTTAACCAACTCTAAGTCATGAGTGTCAGATCCTAGGCTTGCTCTCTCTCAAACTCGCTCACTTGCTCACGCCATGCACACACACACATACCTCAAACAGGACTTTGGTTAACCATACAACTAATCCAGCTAATTTACAATATTGTGTCCCACTCTTGAAAACTCCATCCAGTCATAATGATTTTGAAACCTGAATTGTCATTTTTTCACTTTCCTTTTTTTTTTTTTTTAGAAATAACTTTCCATCTTTCACAAAACCTTGAATTGTTTAATGTTAAATGAAAATGCAATTAAAAGTTATGCGTACTTTATCAAATGAAGTCCCCATTGTAAGGAACAGAAAAAAAAAACACCTAGAAAAAAATCAATTAGGTCACTCTGCTTCCTCTTCACAACATGACATAATGCAGTTATAGAAAGTGCTTGAACTATCACAATTTTTGAACATCAACAATTACCTCTATTAAAATGGACCCACATCAATGTTCGATACCGACTTTGATGACCTGTCCAACTTAGAATTCTACCTGGCAATACTTTTTTCATTAATATCTCACAGTGAACTTTGTAAATTAATATGTGTGATCAAGAATGTAATAATTATCAAGCATTCTTAAAATCAAAATGGGCCCAGAAAAAGCAACCGGAAGTGGATTTATTCTCAGATGAAAAGTTCGTTTTTCATACCTATAAACTCCTGAAGAGATGATCCACCCAAATGTGATTTAACATTGTTTCATAAATCATAAGTCAGCATGAAATCCGCACATGAAAACAGCTCTAAAATGCAACTTCTTACTTTATGAGAAGCGCACTTGAACATAACTTAAAGGTGATTTTTCAAGCTATAAAAATGATCCAATCAGATTACAGCATGACATCACTTGATCGATAATGCTATGAATATGTGCTTTGAAGTGAAAGCACAGTGTCTATGTACTGAACCTGTAGCTGCCTGACAATATTCATATGTAAACAGCGTGAATTTTTTTCCAGATTTTTATTTAAAAAAAAAAAAAAAAAAAAAAAAAAACTGTCCATTAGACAACCAACCTTGCGACTTCATTTGTCCGAACTGAGCTTTAGCCTGTCCCTAACTGTTGGACTGCCATTAGTATCGAGCCCTGCACAAACAGTCGACTCCATGAATTTTACTAGCTTTAAGCTTTTTCCTTGGAAGGTTGCTCTAAAAGTCTACATGTAAACTCTACATCTGTGCATTACACTACAAAGATCCGTAGCACTGATGCTGACATCATTATAGATTAAAAAAATCAATAACCTACATCATCAGGCTGTCTAGACTTCTATCTGGCCTGAAATGTCCCTATTATTGGTTTGCTCTCCAGTTTCATCTGCAGCCTGTCTGCTGCTTGTTGAAAGTGTTCACTTTTTAAAATGAATAACAAGTGGGACGGAAAAATTACATAAGGATTTTTACCTCATCCAGGAAATGGTCACCACCCCCAGATTAAGTTTTTGCCTTTGTTGAGGGCAAATTTTCATAAAACTTTCAGTTTAGGTCAGAAATGAACTAACTTAAAACTAATCACACTTTGGTGATGATCAATTAATTAATTATAAAGTGAATTAAGCTGGCTTGGTGAAGGTCTGCTCCCTCCAAGTCCGACTGGTTTGTGTTAATCAAGTATACAAACCTTCCCCCTCCTGGCTGTAAGTTAACTTCTATTATAAAAAAATCAGCTGACTCAGATTGCACACTTTGTGACAGACTGGGATAGATCCACATTTTGGTATCAATGTCACATACTACTAGTCTTTAAATATATGTTAAAGTACAAATGTCACATACCCAGTCTTTAAATGTTTTAAAAGAGGACATTTTTACAATCTCTGGCTATTCTCCAAGTCTTACTTCGATGACTTTATCTCGGTTCATACAACTTCAAATATCATAACTAACTCATTCTACCCTACAAAAACTGTCAATATGTATCAACTTTACAACTAGTACAATGTGAATATCACACCTAAAAAAAAGCAACATAAAACATATGCTGAAATTCAAACCTCTGTCTTTAAGTAAGATGAAGACCTGCTGCCATCATAGTTTAATTCTGGCTTTGTGCAAAAGTTGTACCCACTGCGCATGCCTTGGTTTGTTTACCATTACAGCATATCTTAGATATCATTATGTGACCCTCACTTAAATCACGTGCCTCAGAGGGAGATTTTGTACATACGTTTTAACTACTTAATATGCTTCTTTCTTATCAAAGAACTATTTCTAGAACTAGAAATTTACCCTGGGGGATTTTTTTATCAGCAATTTTAATAACACTGCGTTAATGCTTTATCGAAACTTATGCAAATAATAATACATTAAGTTATGTATGCCACACTGACACACTTTTTCTCCCTATCAAATTGCAACTGTTGAAATGAAAATATCTTTACAATTTATAGGACGAAGCAATATTGGATATAAAAACAGCCAACGCAAAGGATTTAAAATACAAAATCTGTAATGGTGAGACTTGTCTCACAGTGCATGGGTCAAAATCAACAGTGAAAATATATTCAGAAAACATTATTCTTAACAAAGAAAACATTCCTCCCTTAACTTCCAGGCAAAAGCTTTGTACATAATACCGGGTAGAGGCCATTTCACAAAGAAAACATTTCTCCCTACATCCTTGAACTTCTAGGCAAAAACATCATACTCAAAAGAGTCCTTTTAACAGAGAAAACATCGCTCCTTATATCCTTGAACTTCCAGGCAAAAACATTAGAATCAAAAAGAGTTTTATCAGAGCTAAATAGATGCTTTAATGATATACAAATAAAAGGGTTTCCAAACCTGGATAAAACTCAACATGCAGTGCTTTGAATGCCACTAAACCATATGAAGGCCTCTGGGTAACTGCTAATAGTGCCATTCATTACAAATTTGCAGAATAAGTTACTAAACAAAAATCTTGTGTAAAAGAAGCTGTCATGTAATCAGCCTGAAATGAGCAAATCACCACATGTGCTACTACAGTACCTATGCTAGTTTTTATGTATTGTATTGTAATAGTAGTAACATCAAATCTTAGCCTACTGTATATTCACATGCATATCAGGGGCAGATTGAGGCCGTCTTCTGGGTCTTCCAGATGACAGTCAGTTTTTAAAATTTACATTGAGGGGTATCTAATTTTTTCTACTGGGAGACAGTCAAAATGGAGGATGGATCAACAAACATAATTTGGAAGACTGAGAATACATACAGTATATCTCTGGATCTGCCCCTGGAATATACAGTAAGTTTGGTTGGCTGAGCCACCTTATGCTATCTGTGTAGGCTACGTTGCTATGAATACATGTAGTTGAATGCTAGCTGTCTCTTATAGACTATTTAAGCTTGTTCCTCGTTTGTGAAGGTGAATGCCAAATGAATTTAACCGAATAAAGCAAACTGAATCTCATTTTAATTGCGATTGTTTTTATTATATTCCTTTATTGCTTCTAGGTCCAAGCACAGTCTCTAAATAGCCATCATGACAATATGTGAACCCAATATGAAAAATATGAACACCTGTATCATGGCTGTATGTCGTCATTGGCATCATCGCTAAAAAATGCTGAATCAGACATTCACTGTCTTGTTGTTTACCCAGTGCTGGAATTTATCTAAACAACTTGACTTTCTACTTTTATCGCAAATCGAAGCAATCTACAACACAAGGGGCATTTGGGCTACGTGAATGGGTAACTGTCACTGCTCACAGTAAAATCTGAATACATAAATCGACAAATTAGTCATCAGAACTATAGAAACAACGGTGGCGTGTACCTTACCTTCCTCTTCCTTCTAGGAAATTAGGATATGACCTCATTTGTCCTAGTGCGCGTGCGCAGTTACAAAAAAATTGAGCTAAAATATACATGAATCCAAAATACTTTACTCATAAATAAAATAAAACCAAGTTAATGTTTAAATAAAAAATAAAATTTATCATTAATGATGATAATTTCACCGTAATCTATCACTTTTTTTCATTTTTAAGCACTGATATATTCAACAGACTTTTTATGCACCCTGTAAGAGAAATGAGCAGCTACCATTCTCGTGCTGCCATCTACCGGCTCACCTACGAGCACCTGTACTTCCGCATGATCCGCCCTGAATAAACATTTTCAACTGAGAATGGCGGGGATCCACATACACGAAGGCCCCGAGTTCGGGATCGGGGATTTCGTTCTCTTGGAGGAGGTTTCCCTGAACAAATTTATGGAAAACCTTCATCTAAGGTAAGCGAGATCAATTTTGGACAGAAATCGGGATGTGTTATTTTGAGACAGTATAGCTGGTGGACGTGTCTTGGAAGGATTCTCGTGCCGGTGACAAAATGAGATCAAAAGCCGACCGCCGCTTCAAACTCAAGTGTCACTTGATCTTGCGTTGAAATGTCATGTCTGTTTCTTTTAAGCTTTGCTGTAAGGTATTTTTAAATTGCACCATTTTAAAAACACGAGAGCAAGAGAAACGTTTATTTCTTTGCCTGTAAGTGTAAATCGTAACAAAACTAAATCAATGGGCTTGCATAGAAGTATTATTACGTCGTAATATAAACAATCTCTGTCAGCTGCTGGAGATAAGATCTACTTATCCAAAAATAAAAAAATAATAATAACAACTTGGATAAAGAACAACATCTGGTGATGTTGTTACTGCCAGTCCTGCTTCCTTTATTTTCGTGTCAAGCTTTGGTTATCGTACTGTGTATATAATAAAGCTAGGACAGGATGAAAATGACCATTTATCACTTGACTGCTTTCCTATATATAATTAGTGTGATTGTCAACTTGCTATTAGCTGATTGCTTTCACTGTACATGTAAGTGAGATATGTTTGTGATACCTACTCATCAGCTTTTCCAATATTTGAACTGCTCAAATGATTATTTATTTTTTGTTAAATATTTTCTGAAAGTATATTGAATGTCTTAACATCCATACTAAAAAAATGTGTAAAATATTAATAAGCATTTGTTATAAAAGATGATAACCAAAATTGTGTACTAGTAGGGTCCCGCTAAAACTGATAAAGAGTCAGTGAAGAATAGAAATTCTCTTCATATATTAATATAAATATTGAGCCACAAAAAACAATGTAATAAAACTTCTGTTGTACGCAGTGTTAATAAGATGATCAATAGTAGGAGGACAGATCAATAGATGAACAATTTCCCCCTCTAACATTCACTAATGTGTGGTAATGTCCATTGACAATTGTTTGTCAGGCCTGAGATAATTAAATCACTATATTTTATAGCTTTACCAGTACCCTGACTATCATAGAGTATAAAGGAGGTGAGGTCTGTTTCACCCATCATACCTGTGCCATTCCACCCCCTTTTAGCTATCAGTAATGGCTGTCCTAGTTGCACCCTGGGTTTTTTAATGTAGCTGACATCTTGACCACCTTCCTTATTGCCAGCCATGGCTTTTGGTTCATCCTGGAAGCACCCTGAGTTTCACAGTGCTGATAGGGATATACTCTTCTAGCTTTTGTTTGATTCTTGGCTTGAGATAGCCTCTGACACTTAAGGTGTCTGTAAGCTACTGGTCATGGGATCTGGTCTGTGTACAGTGTGATAATTTAGCAACATAACTAAATTTCATTATTTGTCAGTCTTAGACTGTAGAATCAATGTTTTTTTGCCATTCACCAATCATTCTTTCTTTCTTTCTTTCTAACTCTGGTGTATGACATATAAATAAATAGTTAAATTAATAAATGAGAGAATAAAGCCCAAATAAATTGATAAATAAATGAATAAAGATATATAAATAAACTGAATGAAAGTCAATAATTTTAGATGAATTAAAAAGAAAAATAACTGCACTAGTACTACTCATTATATCAAGCTATCAGTGGCAATATAATAGTTCAGTGGCACCTCAGCTGATAGCTCACACTCTTTTATCAGATAATCAGGGTGCAATTTACCAGATGTATGAAACATCACAGCACATTGCTAGGCAAGCAGTGAGTCAGTATTCTCCCTGTGAAGGGGGCGTGTCAAAATATTGGTGGAATATTTGTATCGCCCATGTAAAAGTGGAGTCATTTCTTTTATTGTAAATTAAATAGGATATTTGGTCCTTTTTTTGTAAGGTTTAAATTATAGACATGGTTAAAGTGAGGTTTATTACAGAATTTACATTGAAGGGTTTTCTGTTTGAAATTGTCACTTTGACTTGCCTCAAAGGAAAACCACAAACCATTATTCATGCAGCAAATAGGCAAGTTTGCTAACACATGTCTACTGATGGCTATTTTAACACAGAGGGTTTATTATGGTATGTACACACTTAACAGAAGTCCTTGCGGCAGCAGGCAGTGATTCACCCGTGACATAGTTTACCGTCTGTTGTTGTTTATCTGTGTCACCTCACCTTGTAATAACAGAGGTGGTATACGTGTACCAACCTATGAAGGATCTTTTCACACCAAGCAGAGTAATTTAATGATGTAAATTGTTGCTGTGCCAGTGGTTTGAGAAGTCCTTACACACACACACACACACACACACACACACACACGTAATGTTACTGATAATTGTACATCATCCAATATTTACTGATTTAGTGGCATGTCTGTTTGAATTGTATTAAAAAAAGATATACCACTTTGAGGTAGATTATATGCACACAAACAAACACACGCCCATTGAGGCATTATCTAACTTATCTACAGTGGCCACTCAAAAGGGTGTGTTAAGTGTTTAATGGCCAATTCCTGTCACCGATTGGATATTTATTGATTGATAACAATGGGATCAATAGGCTATTGTCTACTGTACAGCTCTAATGGACCATTTACTCATGCATAGATTTTTAGAATGGGATATTCACACACTGTTAAAGACAATCTCAGTCCCTTCACTACTAGTACATTCCTTTACTGATTTGGTCCATAACATGTGATCCAAAGGCCTACCAGTAGCCATGAAATGGCCTGTTTTTATTTTAACCATTCACTCTATTAATTTTAATGCATGTGTTGAAAACATATTACTTTGTGGAGTTTTGATATACATGTTTAGTTGCTGTGTGAAGAAATATAACAAAGATATTGGAGGAGGGGCGGGATTGGCATGAGGTATATTTTTATTCCACTTTCTCCTGCCCCTGTCCCTCTGTCCCTTGATATCTAGGATGTGTCTTCTTGTCAAAATGGAATATTTGAGGTGAAAGTCATAGGGATTATAGAGACATTAGAGCTTGGAGGGGGGGGGGGGGGGGGGGGGAGCAGCTCATGGGTCCAAATGTGCTCACTTATTCATCTTTCAAAAATTTTACTTTTAAAATTAGGGAAATCCATTAATTTAATTTTAGAAAGAATAGACTTTCTGATATGAACATATGCTTGACTATTTGTCTCCTTTTTTATTTTGAATCTGAACTGCAAATCTCATATGTACTATATATCTATCTATCTATATCTATCAGACTGTGAAGTACACATGACACAGTCAAGTCTTTTTGATTAATACTTGACAAACTGTGAAATTAGGTAGCAACTCTGAAAAATTAATCTGTGATTGTTGACTGATAAAATATCTAACTCTCACAAAGCCTGAATAAAAAATCTGGAGAGTGATTTATTTGCTTTGATGCAAGTGGCATATAGCATGCCATTAAGTGATTACACGCAATTTGTAGATTGAATATTTCATGAATTAGTAATTCACATGTTAACATATGTCAGAATCATCAGAGACCACTCAGTTTTTATGCACATTTAAGTGGTAGTCTAAGCATTAAGAAGCTAGGCAGTGATTATAAACGCAGTCTTGCTGTGTTGACAGTGAAGAATTTCTTCTCAGTTGACTAAAAACTCAGACATCTTTAGAAATGCTAATCACATTTTTATCGGATTTTTTTCATTAGGGCACATTCAGTCGCTAAGACATTAAGACAACCTGAGTCAGATCAGAGGTTATACCTGCTTCTTCTTCATCTTCTTTTTCTCCTTTTTCTTATTATATAAAATAACATTAAAAGTGTTCTGCTTGGTGTTCTCACTCTCTTTGGAAGATCCTAAAATGGATCGAAATATTACTCTGTAAACGATCATCATTAAAAATGTAAGGCTTCATTTCATAGCTGCTGTCACTGGTTTTATAATGAAGAAAAATAAAAAAAGCCTTGACTTTTTCATTATTTAAGAGTTGTCTTTTTAAACTGTGAGGCAGGTGTCCTGACAAATACAGTAGGTAGCATATAATATATATATATATATATATATATATATAATATATATATATATATATATATATATATATATATATATATATTTAGACACTGGCACAGGATCGTTGGAGCAGTTGCCAATTCATGGTGAACTGGCATTCTGCCGGGGCTGTGACACATGCAGAGTGGTGTGTCACACACACACAGCTATGACATACATGTATGACACGACAGGTCTGTGACCCTACTTGACATCATGCCATATCTGCTGATGTGTTTTGGCGACAAGAGAACATGAACAGAATTGTCATTGTTTCACTTTTTACTGCTTGTTAGGATTTGTTATTTGTCTTGTAATTTGGCAACAAACTAATTGATAGTGAATTAAATCATGGGGAATATTGTGGGGAAAAAAAAGAATTACTTTGTCTGCCTGTCTTTTTGTTGGGGTGTGGGGGTGGGGTGGGTGTCTTTCTGTATGTCTGGGGCCTTGACAACTGAGCTGTCATTAAAATGGGCAGTGAGTTGGATTGTAGAAATGTGTGTTTAGGGGAGGGGGGTGTCATTCAGTTCCATTATAACTGTATTAAAATGAGAAATGAGAATTGATATAAGGATGTTACTATTCAAAGTCCTGTACCTAAAAACTTGTGTACTAGAACACATTTGCTGCCATTGAAATTACATTTTAATTTAATTAAAATATCAGACATTCTACCATAAGATTTTACTTATGTTGATATTGCCTGTCACTCTGCCTGTCTGTCTGTCTGTCTGGGGCCTTGTTAACTTAGGTACATGTAAGCTGTTATAAAAATGGGTAATAACTTGGGTTGTGGCATGTGTGTGTGTATTGGGGAGGGAGGGGGGCATTAAGCTCCATAGTGTCAGACATCTTTTTATACACATTTGGTGCTATTAAAATAAATACGTATATTATTATATACCATAAAATATTACTCATCATATTGGTCACAGGTGATAGTATATGACAAGTATTAGCAGTGGCTGTGTCATCTTATACCTGACCACTATCATCATTCACGCTG